TAAATGAAGCTATGGAGGTATTGTTGCCATGGATAGTACGTTGAGCACAAGAAAATTAGCCAATGAGACCGGCGTGAATCGTACAAGTGTCCAAAGGATGTTAAAAAAACACAAGTTCCACCCGTACAAAATTCAGTTGGTACAAAAACTCAACGAAGACGATTTTGATCGTCGCTTGCCATTTTGTGAAACTATGAGTGAACGAGTGGCGAATGATAATAATTTCCTATTTAATGTGTGTTTTTCGGATGACTTTTTTTTAACGGTTTAGTTAATCGGCACAACTGTCGGTACTGGGCTGAGGACAACCCCAGGGTTTTCCACGAGGTGCACACACAAAACCCTCAGAAATTGAACGTGTGGGCTGGTATTTTGGAAATTCTATTGTGTGGGTCAGTTTAATGATATTGAGAAGAACTTCAACGCACAAGTCACAGAACAGCTATCTAGCAACTACCGCATCTGATCGTTGAACCATGTGGCAAGTGAAAAAATGCGTAAACATCTAGAAATAATAAGAAAAATTAGCAAATTAATCGAAGGAATTTATCCTTATCATTTACTCTGATAAATGCTTAAATAAACTTTTCAAATTTCAATCCTTCATATTTTCTCAATAACTCGACCGATTTTCAAAAACGAAGCGGGGAAATATAGAGAATAGAAAGCTCTTTTCATTGCGGCACCACTTGACCCCCCTTCCCATTTGAAAAAAGTTGGAGGATGACACCCCCGCTTAGAGGGTTGAAGATTTTGCAATCATTTTTGGGGCAAAAGTTGTCCCCCTGACAAACAAAATTGACGTGATTTTGGATTTTTTGAAAAAAAATACCCTGGCCGTCATGCCTTGCGGAACGTTTTCGATGGGCCACCCTGTATGATTTATTAATGAACAAGCAGTGCCTTCTATTAAAAGATCAGCCTGGGGGCGGACTTTTGTTTACTTCATCAGCTGTACATACTTAGATATTGGGTTAGATTCCGTTTCATATTTTGTCGGTTGATTTTTGGTTTTAACTCTTTGATTTTTGGTATTATTTATTATTATAGTGCAAAAAACTAATTATTTTGGTGTTTAAGTGACATAAACTACTACCAGATATATGGTCACTCTCGGTTTCGCATAAAAAAATAGAAAAATTGAAATATTACACGTTGTGTAAGTGATTTAACCTGAAAGTGCCCATACATTTTTTACTTATCGTGATTTTTGTGTGTGTTTTTTAAGACTCTAACAATTCATCAATAAAGCTTAAGTGGAGTGCGTTTTTGGTGCTATGCCTCATCTTTGTTGTGTTCCTGGTGGAAAGGATAGTTATACTAGGCAGCTTAAAGTATCCGGAAGAGCAAGAAAAGTGGGTACGAGTTATAAATCAAGAGAATTTTATTGAAAATATCTTTAATAAATTTAAAAATAATATTCTCCCATGATGATATTAATGAAAACTGGACAATTATGTTTATTTTATTCATATTGTGGAATCTCCACTCCAAGTGTTGTTGGTTCAGCTTCGATAGATTCAAACACGTAAGTAGGTATTATGATCTAGGGAAAAATAAAGAATATGTGTATTAAAGATCATGAAAAAGATTATTATTTTGAGTTCAAATTTTAAAAAAGATTTTTGTAAAGACAAGACTGATACAGTTTAAAAAAGAAGTATGTGTTTTTTTGTTTGATAATATATAATGTATGTCAAGCATAACATATATTTGTTCAGTAATTTTTAATGAATAGTGTTGATTATTTATAATACCAAATTAATATCAAATATTTAAGTGATGGCTGAATACAATATGAATAAAATAACAATAAAATTGGTATATTTGCATAATACAAAATTAAGTTTTAAGAATAAAGGTGTTACTAAAAATACTAAGAAATTCATATTTATTTGTTTTAATTGGTCTAATGTTATTTACATTTTATGTAAGAATTATACCGTATCATCGAAAAAAATCGGCGTCTAGTTGGCTTGGAAATGAACATCGATGACATGCCCTAAATAACTGTACACATAAAATAATTAACTAGAATTTTACAATCTTGGAAAATTTGATATTCTTGAATCTTGTTTCTAAATATACTAAATTTTTTGATTTTCTTGGGATTTAGGTTCGGGAAAAACGCTGATTAAGTTTTCATTTGGTTTTTCATTATTTTTATTTGGTTTAAAAAAAAAACGGTTCGGCTAACATTATAGCCTTCATCAGTGTTGTGTCATATGAAAAAAATAGTGTCGAATATAATCCAAAAAATTACATATAAAATATTCATACCACGCACATAATGTTTACTGCGTACTGCGTACTCCATAGTCAATGTAGATAATTTTAGTGTTAAGAATAATAATTTTAAAAAATATGTGGTCATGTTTTGATTAGTTTATATTAGTTTATTAATTGCAGTAAATATTATGAGGTGTGAATTATATTGTATATGTAATTTTTTGGATTATATTCGACACTATTTTTCTCATATGACACAACACTGATGAAGGCTATAGTTAGCCGAAACGTTTTTTTAAACCAAATAAAAATAATGAAAACCCAAATGAAAACTTAAATCAGCGTTTTTCCCGAACCTAAAAATCCCAAGAAAATCAAAAATTTTAGAATAATTTTACATATAAAATGCCAGCGATCTTCATTTCATAGCCATCGCTGACGCCTTTTTTAGATAATATTGTATTATTTGTAAATATAATTTTTCGAAGATTGATACTTGCAAGATATACATATAAATTTTGTGAATGCAAATAATAATACATCACTATTAGTAGATATTGAATGTTTTTTGTTAAATTAGATCGATTTTCAAACCCCAAAATTTAAAATATATTTACATTTTACCCATTATCTTATGTACCTATACATTATTTGTACATTGTAAAACACTTGCTGCATTTGTATGGTTCATAGTTTATTTGCCAAAGTATTTATTACTATAAATAGGTATATACAGGCCCGGCAATGGATCTCTAGGCATAGGAATTACATGCATTGGAATGAAACGCCTATAAAAAGTCTATGCTTAAACAGAGATGGACAACAACTTCCCCGTTTCCACTTCCACTACGACTGCCTACTTAGACAAACTCCAATAAGATAACAAATTTTGGAAATTCCGCCACCTCCCATCCACTCATGATACCCATCTCCCTGCCCTTTATTTATCGCCATTATTTTATTTCCCTTCCCGCGCCTCCGCACCTCGCTATTCTGACTCCCGTCAGTTCATCACAGAGTTGCCAGGTCTACCGGTTTCGTCTGTAAGCTACCGATCTACCGATTTAAAGAAAAATCTAACGATATATTCAACTGCGTCTTTAGTTTTTACAATAGAAGCACTTATAAAAAGCTGACTTATTTGACTAAAAATTAAGCGACTGCCGTGTTGGAATCTGTATAATTTGACTTTATTATTGTTTCATTAAATTTTATTTAGTAATAACACACATACAGGTCATCGTTCTGTCTAGTTGCAGAGTTACAGAGATATTCCTAAAAATCCTTATTACTCCTTATTACTCCTTATTAGGCGCGGTATTGGCGACATGCCCGAAGAAGTTGATATCTTTTGAAAAGATTTTATTTCATTCATCTACTAAAGTTGAACCCATATTTTCCCCAAAAAATGTAAACAAAAAACAAAATTTAAGTTAAGAAACAACCTAAATTCGGACAAATATTTTAGTGATTTTCCCGTCAAAAAAATATATTAATATGAAAAAAGAGTGAGAGTTGCTACAGCTTTCCCATTGAAATGAAATTAATTTTAGATATCACTGATCAAAATTTGTACAAAGGTAAAAAGTGACTGCTACACTAATTTGTGACTGCTATCCCTACTTGTTATAGTTTTATATGTTTTTATTAATATATTAATATTATTTAATTCAATATTTTTTTTAATATTAAATAATATACCTAGCTATTTCTAATTCTTGTTATATTTATTATATTTGTATTTTATTTGAGTGATCTATTATTACGACACATAGGAATGCTAATTTTGGACTTAAATATTATATTTTATTTCGTTTCTGTACTTTTAATTTTTGTTGAAGATCTACCGAGAATTTTGTTCTCGTATGGAATTATAATCTAACAAACCCGGCAACCCTGTTCGTCTACTCCTTATAAAGTTTTTTTCGGCCTAATTCCTTTGTCACAGCCGCGGCTTTGTGAAGCGCCGCCGCCGACCGACTGTGTCGGGGCGACTGCTAGGAAGATCGTACAGTATTGCCATTTCATAGAATTGCACTTGCTATTTTAGAAATGATATCAAAGTTTTGCATGTTACTTTTCGTTTTAGAAAGAAGTTATGTGCCTAGAGAAAACATTCGTAAAATTGTTTCGTACTTTATTTAATATTTCATTAAGTAGGCAAGATAATGGGATTAGAAGATTTAGGATTTTGACAAGCCAACATAATTTCGATTTAATTGAATGGCAACACTGTCCGTCCTGTTTCTATTTTTTCGATTCTGTTCTATTAGTAGGCGGTAGCCCCCACACAAGCGTCTTAAAGACCCGCCCGGCGCCCTCTCGCAGGGCTCTCGTCGTATCACTTCTATGATCACTTCCCCTATACGATGGTAGGGAAAAGACACTTTATCCGTCTCTGTTGCACTGCAGTGTATTTTGCAGCCTTACCATCTTTTTTTATCGCATTGAAAACCTCCTATTGCTAATATTCCTTTGCCAGTAGTGTATGTTGTAGTTATTAACTGTATATTATGTATATTTCATGTAAACTATATCATTTTTAAAATACAAACCAAAAATCTGAGGAATAATTATGTTTTCCATGTATTCTACAACATATTTATTAATCCGTTATATCTAACTAGCGTGACGTCATAAATCTCGCCCGTAGGCTGATCTTTTAATAGAAGGCACTGGAACAAGGAGTTTGTAAATAAAAAGTAGAATTTTAGACTTTCTAAATAGTTAAACCATTCAGTGGTCTCTTATGACTTATGACCTATACCTACCTTTTCAATATCATCTGGATTGTAACAAAAAACCATTGGTCTCTTTCCATGAATCCCAGAAAAGTAAGCTATATCACCATATTGCTCTCTAAATCTAGAAACGAAAAAAATCTGTACGATTTATAGGACAAAAAATGCTATGATCATGCTAAATACCTAATTCTAATATAATTGTTAGGGTTCCGTACCCAAAGGGTAAAAAGGGGAACACTATTACTAAGACTTCGCTGTCCGTCCGTCCGTCCGTCCGGCCGTCCGTCACAAAGGTCTATCTTATGAACCGTTATAGCGTTGAAATTTTTACAGATAATGTATATATGTTACCGCTATAAGAACAAATACTAAAAACAGAATTAAATAAATGTTTATAAATAAAAAAGGAATTTCACTAAATATTATCTTTTAAGTAAGAATTTTACATAGAATCTTTCAACTCCTCGGTGGCCGCGTGGTTTAAAACGTTAGGACTTTACGCTGCTATGACATTGGAGCCGTAGTAACGCAGGTTCGAATCCTAGTCAAGGCGACTTTTTTTTAATCGTTTTTTTTTAATTTTTACATATTTACATATTTATTTTTACTTTTTACATATTTATTATTGCTTAATACAATTTTTAGTCATGTGTTTCGTCATTTTTTTTCATTCAAAATTTCAGCTAAATCGGAAAAAAAGTTTATAATAATATAGTGTCTAATGTTGTATAGATAATGAATGGTACGGAACCCTTCGTGCGCGAGTCCGGCTCGCACTTGACCAATTTTTTAATTAATGAATTTTTGGATGCCATGCTGCTTTATCCATGCACATCGACAGATATTTGCTTTGTATTATATAGCAAATTATTATTATTATCTATTTATATTTAAATACAAAAATAATAATACAATATATATACATTTTATTATTTTTTCATTTTTTTAGGTATAAACATGTTTTAAATATTTATATCCTTTTTAAGATTTTACTCTTAAACTTTTATTTTTTTGAAAAGTAATACTTAAATTTAATTCTATAATATATATTTTATATTTTTATCAATTAAAGTACTTAATTTTGTAATTGTTTATAAAAAACACAAGTTGGAAACACTTAACTAATTTTAAAACCTTTTAAATTCTATTATTAGCTATTAGCTTAAATCATAGCACTGCTTGAAAGACACTGGTTTTGGTCTTGATCTTGCGCAAAAATACGGGGTGAGTCTTAAATAAATGCAAATATTTTTAGGGGTAGTATTTTTTGACCCCAGAAAAATGTATATGAGGTTCTTTCGCGAAAAAAAATTGAGAATTTGAATTTTTAATTTGTTGTTAAAAAACATAATATCTTGATAATATGGTTTGATGGAGGAAAGATCCAGTGGTTCTCAAAATTTAAGCAAAAAAAACGGTGAAGAAATATATTTCTTTTATCGAGATCTATCAGCCCTGAAAATATTTCCACTTATTTAATACTCACCCTGTAGTTATAATCATAAATAATCAGAAATTAATAAAAACGAATAAGGTGTCTAATTCTATAAAAGTATGGAGCAGAGTTCAAGGATATAGGGATAAGATAAAATCATTTAATGAACTAAAAATATACAAAATAACAATAACAATCTTGATAAATATTTTATAACAACATTTATTATTGCGACACTTTTATCTATATTGACATAATTTAGTTTATTTTTTTCCTTATGCAAAAATCATGAATTATATCTTTTGAATTACTTTGCTATTATTATTGTATATTTTTTTCACACGCCAGTAATCTGTTGAATTACCTAGCAAAAGATCTCTTTTAGCTCGAATTTTGTCAGTAATAAATTTAGTTTGGCTGGTAATTATTATCTACAGTTAATTTTGTCTATATTTTTTCTTTAATACAAGGTGTTTCACTACAGGTTATGGATGTCTAGCTTACATTTATAAAATGGGAAATACACGGTGTCCCAATATTCCGTGAACATAGAACTACTACGTATTTTTGAAAGGAAAATAAGATCACTGGACAAAATTTACCTCTAGACAAAAGTACTTCGTTTATCTGCTAGAGGGCATGAAATTTTAAAAAAATAAACACATTTTTTCGGATATTTTAAAAACCGTTATTCTGATTTGAATGAGATTTTGGGTGTCTATGTTTTGCGAAGTGGTTTAACATTTGGCTTTCACAAAAATCAAGAAAAATGACGGGGTAGGTGAAAACTACCCCCATCCCTACAAAAAAAATTTAGTATAAATATTTTCCAACTCAACTCAAGATCGATTTTTTTTTTTCGTAGAGAATTGTCTTTCTACTATTTGTAACATTCATATATACAGGGTGGCGCCACTCATACGCTTTAGGAGAACGTCAGTTTATATTGATATGTAATTTTGTGAATATAATTATGTAGGTTAATTCAGAGCACTTTTTAAAAATATAGAGAGTTCTACAGGGTGTCCCCAAAAACAGTTACATGTCAAAGTTGTGTTTTTTAATAGAACACTCAATATATTAATTGATTTTCGGATTTTGGGAGAAAAATAAGTATAACATGTAAGGTTTTTTACATACTTAACATTTTCTAAAAATAAGAAACAATAAAATTTTTAAATTACAATAAAAGCTACCTAAACTGGAATTTACCCGGTATAGCCTGATATGTAGTTAAATTAACTATTGTACTTAAAATCAAATTAAAACTTGATTCAAAAAGTTATACAGGGTGAGACAAAATTAATATTGAACATTGGTCATCTTTAAAAGCATGTTACTCTTTTATTTTAAATGGAACATCCAGTATATTATTCCGATATTCAATGGAGAATTCATGTCTCTTAAAAATACTATTAAGGTTGCCTACCCCTCAAACAATGATTGATTTTATCTAGTCTGGTTTTATTATGGTGATATGTTAAAAACAGTGTTTACAAAACTCGACTAACTATTGTCGACAACATTAGAGAATTTATTGTAGCTGCTTTTCGATGTAGAACTCCACATATGCCTTTTAAAATGAAAATATCCTTTTGAAAAGATAATCATTTTATGCAGTTAACAGGAAAGGAAGCATTTTGAGTATTTGATTTCATCTATCTAATTTTTGTCACATAATAATTATAGGTTTATATATCTAGTTTTAATTCTGTAATAATTAAAATATGTTTTAAACGGGTATCTTTTTATTACCGTTGAGTATTTTACTTTAAAATTTTACATTTTTGTTAAATTAACAAAAGGTATATCACACAGCCACGCTAGATTTTTTCAAGTAATAAAGATCTACTGACGCAAAATTCGGCAAAATCATAAAAATTAAAATATCTAGGAAAATGTTTGTCTGAAGGGTCAACCTTATTAATATTTTGAAGATATATAAATTCCCCATTGAACACCGCAAAAATATACTTGGTGTTCCATTTAAAATAAATGGGTAACTTGCTTTTAAAAGTGACTAATTTTCCATATTAATTTTGTCTCACCCTGTATAACTTTTCAGATCAAATTTCAATTTGGTTTAACAATGGTTACTGTAATTAAATATCAGGCTATACAAGGTCAAATAAAATTTAAGTAGCTCTTATCAAAATTTAAAATTTACTCTTCATTTTCACAAAATGTGAAACATGTCAAAATCCTTAGATTTTAGGTATATATATGCTTCTTTAATAAAACTCACCTTTATTTTTTTCGTAGAATCCGAAAATCAATTAATATATAGGGGTTTCCATTAGAAAAAACTTTGATGTGTAATTTTTTTTGAGGACGGGACACCCTGTAAAATTCTATATATTTTTATAAAATCCTTTCAGTTCACCTACATATGCCGCCAAAATTTAATTTCTATATAAACTACCATTCTCCTTGGATCTTCCGCGGCGTATGAGAAACGCCACCCTGTATTTGATATTATAATATTATGAAGAAATAAACTAAAAAAACATACTGTGCTATCACATTTCCTGAAATAATACCAACACAACAAAGACACTAAAATCCAGCTATGAACTTTGGCAACTTTCAATAAATGTAAAACACTCTTTTTATTAACTATAATTTACTTGGTGTGCAAATCGATGATTTGGATGTTATGCATGTCCCCAACCAAAGGAAAAAACCTCCACGCATTCCCTAAAATGGGAATGGGCTTGGGTCCAGGAATCTCCTCGAAGGGCTTGGCCTCATCCCACCCTTCAGGCTTTCCTTCATTCTCCTTAGACACTCCGTACCCGATTTTCTTGTAGTAACTGTCTTTAGGATCGACAGCTATCGATTCGGCGGAAGCATTTTTCGCGCTTTCGGTGGACACAAATCTGGTGAGAATGATCAGTGACCGCGACTTGGAAAGGATCATGTTGAGGGTATAATAATAGAATACAAACTGCAACTATTCGTGAAACGATTCATATACACAGTAATTTTCAAATGAATTAAAGTGGCGTGACGTGTGATTGGAGATAAACTGTGTGTGTGTGTTGATTGTATGTTTTTTCGTATATGGGGGGAGACAATAAAATAATATACAGGGTGATTCAGTGTTTTGAAAAAGCTCCATATCTGGTTTTCTATTTGGGATTTTCTTTTTAAATATTTTTACAGATGTACAGTGTGATTGAAATATATTTGTACACAAATATTTTCAATTTCTTTGTTAATACCCTAGATCATATAACCGGGTGTTGCATCGTCGGACGGAACATAGGAAATCCCATGTAAATTTTAATGGGGTCAATTATTGGCTTCCCTAATTATTTTAAAGAATAATTCTATTTAGGTTTATTGAAGAGCACTAAAACCCACATTCAAAAATATATCTTTAGAGGTTTTTGATTAGCTCGTTTACGAGTTATCGCCGATTTCTTTTTAAATATTTCTGCTTTCTTATGGCCCTATGTTTACTTATGAGCACCAGTCAAGGTAAAAGATAATTGTCAAATGAAGTTGTCATTTCAGAAATTTACCAATTTAGTGCTTTATTATTATTGAAAACTCATTCCTACATCGGAAATCTTAAAGATGTATTTATAAATACAAATTAATATGAATTAAAGTAAAATAAAGTAATCAATTACAAGGTTAATTATAGTATTATTACAATGTTCAATAACTTATTAATTTAGGTACTATTAAATAGTTAGAACTTTAGGATTTAAGAAGATATACCTCCATCGACTGCTAGACAATAAGCCAGGTGATCATAAAATTCTCTTCTTACAATCGCTAATTGGTAAACTGAAATTCTATTGCATTCGGCAGAAATAGCATTTTTTAACTCGTCTAGATTTGGGAATTTTTTATCCTGTTTTTTAAATGGCCCCAGAGAAAGAAATCATGTGGCGAAATATCAGGAGACCTTGCTGGCAAATTTACTGTATGATTTAGGCCAATAACGTTTCCGTTAAAACTATTGTCTAAATATTCCCGAACAGCCAGGGTACTATGTGCCGGGCAGCCATCCATTTGGTACCAAACTTCATGATTTTCCCTAGCGGCATCATGTAAAGCAGGTAAAATATGATTTTCGAGTAGTTCCAAATAATATTCTGCATTTAAATTTCGCGTAAGAAATAATGGCCCGATAATATTGTGTCCGAATATCCCTGCCCAAACATTTACTTTCTGTGGATATTGCGTCCTTGTTTCGACAAACCCGTGTTGGTTTTCTTTGTTCCAATATCGATCATTTTGAACATTGGGTTCATTATTTAAGATAAACGTGCATTCGTCAGTGAAACATATGTTTTTTAAAAATTCCCTATCCGTGTTTGCTCTTTCCATCATATTAAAACAAAACGCTTGCCGCCGTATTTCGTCTCTATCTCGTAGCTCTTGGTGCTTTTCATATTTGAAGGAATAGTATTTATGTCGTTTCAAAATTCGAAACGCTGTAGTGTGATCTATTCCTATTTCATCCTGAAGTTTCCTTGTGCTGATCTTTCCATCGTTCTCTACCACGCACAATAAAACTTCCAAGTCGGTATCATTTCTTGCATCTTCTCCTTGTTCCTGCCTTGCTTCACATTTGCAGTTATTTATTAAGGTATCTTCGGTCTCAAATCTCTGGATATTCCTTGCGATTGTAGATTTTCCAGGTATCGGTCTATTCGGATACAGAGCAGCAAACATGTCCGACACCTTTTGATAGCTATTTCCTTGATAATACCATTTAATCATCAATACTTTTTCTTCGGTAGTGTAATTCATGGCTAATATTTTCGATGTAGGTATGAGTTTTTAATAATAATAATAAAGCACTAAATAGATAAATTTCTGAAATGACAACTTCATTTGACAGTTATTTTTTACCTTGACTGGTGCTCATAAGTAAATACAGGGCCATAAGTTTATATATATAAGTTTTAGTGCTCTTCAATAAACCTAAATATAATTATTCTCTAAAATAATTAGGGAAGCCAATAATTGACCCCATTAAAATTTACATGGGATTTCCCATGTCCCGTCCGACGATGCAACACCCGGTCGGTATAGAGTAATAACTCCTCCATTTAGAAAAATACAACATGTTATAAAAATATATTTGAATTACGTAACTACGTAAATATATCTAGGAAAGCATTTTTAAAAACACGTATAGGCTGCATTGCCAACATATTCAGTAAAAACAATGTAGCCAAAAATTGCAAATAGAAAATCTGGCAGTAGTATTTTTAGGAACGGTACGTCACCCTGTATATCGATGTGTGACCATGTATAAATATATAAATTAGGAGGAGCCTGTAAATGGAAAAATAAAGAAATAATTATGGCAAAAATGTAAGGTCAGATCAGTAATTTTCGCAGTTTTTAACCATACATCAATTTATAGTAAAAAACACGTTTTACCAATTCTAAACAAAAACAAAATCAGAAAAGAATTTTAATTTGTTTCGATCACAGCTAATTCATGAGTATGGAGTCTAAAAGGAGGAGGCGAATCGAACGCAAAAATTTTGGGCCCAGATTTCATGATCTAAGTGAAGTTCGAAAATCGCCGTTAGGGGCGCATGTGATGATAGGGATACTAGAAATACACAGCTTCTTATGGCAAGAATAACTATTTTGTTATAAATTATAGAGCCAAGTTAATATTTGGGCATATTTTTACTAGAGTTAGCTTTTAGAAACGTGTTTTTTTTTTCTAATTGAGCAATGTGCGTGGCTAAAATTGGGAATACAAAACCCTAAATTTGAGTTTGAAAAGTTAGTTAGGTTATATCAGATGCCGGTTTTAGATATTCTTTTCCTATGTTCTTATTATAACAATGTTTTATTATGGGGTTCTATTTAGTGCATACACGGCCGAAGAAAAATATAAGCTGCTAAAGTAAATGTTTCCTTCAACTGGTATACACAAAATATCGAAGTTCCGGCAACAAACGTATCACCAGTTCAACCTTTGATTTGATGTAAACAGTAATTGTTCCTTGATGAGAAATGTGAATTAAATAGTTTATGATGTGAGTGTGTCAGAAAGAAAATCGATAAAATAGACAAGTGTGTCTAGAAAGAAAATCTAGGAACTAGTGGGGTTGCAGTTGGAAGGGTTTGGACTACAATTAATACACTTTGTTAATGGTCAATCTTTATTTATTCCATCCTCAGGACACTGAAATGGAAATACATGTTACAGAAAAAAGGCTATAAAAGTCATCAAGTAGAAAGAACTTACTCAACGTGGTAAAAAACCTTCTCTAAAAACTACATTAAAAAATAGGCTTACAGGAAACATTGAAAGCATTGAAACATCAAATTTATTTATTTAGGAATATAAATACATAACTTTTATTTTGATTAATTGACTAACTCCAAGTAGCTAAATTTAATATATGTAATATACACCTGAATATACAATAAAGAAATTATCTACTAATAGTAAAATAAATTATCTAACCTTATCTACAGATGGTTCAGTAGCGGCTCGTTACCATTAGAACTGATGAGGCGACGCAAACGCGGACGAAAACAAAAAGACGGGGGGGGTCTAAGCTGCAACAAGTTTAATTTTTTTTTGTTCCTCAGATATAATATGTTTGAAGGTTTAACCTACTAAAAATGTCATAAGAACTTTTTTTTGTTTTTATGTGTTAAAAGCTAGAGATTTTTTTGCTCCTCAGATATAATAAGTTTGTAAGCATAACTTATTAAAAAAGTCATCAACTTAAACATATACCTATTAGGTATTAGCTAACTAATCTAATGATCGTAATATGACAGCTCTAATTTGAGGTTTTCGTTCGGTTAGTAAGACGGAATTTGTCACATCAAGCTCTACGACGCGCGACGCGACGACATAAATAAGAAACAAACAAGTAAAAAATAGTTAAAAAATGTAATTGTATAAGAATTATTCCTTTTTGTAGGTTAAGTTTATTCATCTGTCTTTAAGAATAGCAAATTTATCAATTATGTCATCATAAAACTTCCCTTCGTTCTCACTAAGGGTAACCAACAGCTCCTTTTCAATTGAAAATAAAGACAAAGCAGAAAGTCTATCTTGTAACATTGTATTTCTTAAGTAAGATTTTATCCGTTTTAGACAAGAAAAATCCCGCTCGACTTGAACACTTGTAATCGGGATTTGGTTATAACATTGGTTATAACACTTATCTGGGGAGTAGGTCTGTTTTCCTGTAAGACCCCTCGCTTTTCATCCTCTGGAAAATCCTTTCATCTTTTCTGTCTTCTGGAAAACGGGGTTTTTAGAAGGGACATCACAATGTCATGTACATGATTCATTTTAAAGTCTGATTATTACAAAATAAATCACTAAACTCTGAATTACGGCTAGATCACACTACTTGCTACTCACAAAAGCATAAAACAAACCGACCGAACAGACGTGACGTTTAGTAATTCCCCGAAATATCTAAAGTTAATTATTTTGACCAGTATTGCGTGGATGCCAAGAGTTCATATTATTCAAATTTATTCTATACTCTCTTCAATATACGATATTATTTCCATAATTATTGATGGGGTATTTCGTGAAGTTCAATTATTAGATTAATTTTAATTACAAAGAGCATTATAATATCGCATTATCCAGCCATATCAAGCACGACCTATTTTTGAACTTAACAATCAAGTTTGTAAAGAATGGATTTTTTTTCATGAATCTGGCAACAGCGTTGCACTTAAGCGATTTGGCTGTCGCCTCTACAGCAGCTAATTTCACGCTTTCCCTCCGCTTCCCCGACCCACTGATTTCAATGTGTGACGTTTTAGTTCATTGATAAAAAAAGGTCGGCAGAGGCGGCAAAAATTACGCCTCAGGAACGCAGAACGAAGAGATGCATTGTAGTCCAGTTAAAACAGAAACGAAATGGCGCGATCGGTTGGTTTAGACCGGTCGAAAAGTAAAAAGCTTGGTATATTTTAATAAAATTATTCAATATTAATATTGCTATAATATAAATATACGATTAGCTGGAAATAAATTTGTGTAC